GTTTTCAAAGGAATGGTTGGCAAATGCATGCAGAAGGGGCCTTTAGAGGTCACCTTCTGCTGCCACCTGCTGCAAACAGAGCCAGAACTGGCAGAAGACACTGGGCCCTGTGCAGTCAGCTTTGGGCTCTCACGCAAGATAGAGATGTCAACAGCCATCCTCAGGAAAACTGTTCCCTGGTCAGATTACTTGATCTGGACTCATGGGCAGACCTACAGGTCCTGCGCCAGCAGGGAGCCCGTCCGGCCCAGAAGTCAGCCCTGTGGCACTCTGTGCGGAAGTGCGGTGTTGCATCACCCTGTGGGCACTGTGTCCTATCTGGGGCCCTGGGCAGGAGGGAAGTCAACAAACTGGAGGGGCTGAGGGGAGGCCACTCATATGGCAAGACTGGAGTCCTTGCCCTGTGAGGAGAGGCTGACTCCTTTGTGGGGGTAACTCTGTTTGTTTTTTTTGTTATCTCTCTCTTTTTTTTTCTTTTTTTTCTTTTTTTTTTTTTTTTTTTTCTCCACACTTGCTTTTTTTGGAAGGCCATGAACAGCCAATCTCTCCTCAAAAATGCACTCCTCCTGCACACACTTGGGAAAGCTCTCAAGAAATAAGACAGTGTAGGCAGTTTCTACAGACGTGTGACCTGGGCTCAAAAACTAGCTCAATCCAACCCAACACAACCATCATTGTGCTTTCTCTCAGATATAGTGCTGATAGGATTCACCTTAGAAGATGACACTTCTCTACCAGGGATACTTGAAAGGATGTCCTAACACTGTCCCTCCAAAACCCATTGGTACTTTCATCAGCAGTTAAGTATCACGTTTTTGATAGGAAGGCATACACAGTAATTCCTCGAATGATTTTACAACTATGTGTAAGTTTCTGTGTGTGGTCGTGTCTGTGCAGGGAGCAGGCGGGAAAGACGGGGTGTAAAAACTTGCTTTAATGTTGAGAACAGATTAATGCACTTCCCCCAAAGAGACTGTCAAGTAGCATACAAATGGCAATGTTTTTCCTAAAGGGAAGGTCTGATTTCTGACAGTAACCAGTAAAACTTCCCAGGAAGCATGGAAGGAGAATCTGACATTTATAGTGAGATACCCTTCCAAGTCTGCAGTACCTTGTGATTGAATGGTTTCTTAAGCAAAAAAGTATTTATTTGTATTGAAAGAATGCAAGGTTGGTGGAAATTTTTCTCCATTTATTTGTTCACTCTACTTTTGAACTTCTGTAAACTTTGCCTACAAAGTCCTCAAGTCCTCACTCCTCTAGGAATCCTGAGTACAATGGTGCGTAGAATAACGATCAGTACATTGGATGAGGGCTAGGAGTCCTCTTTCTCATTGAGCTATTGCTGCTTTTCTGTCTCATCATTAGACAACACTAATTGGATACTTCTGTCTAGCTCATCCCATTTTAACCTTGTATCTACAGAATTAATGTGAAAAGATGCAGTAGGTCCCAAATCATTCCTGGCATCTGTAGTCTAATACTTTGAATTCCACAGCAACAGGAAGAGATTTATGAATACTACTGCTTGCACTGCTAACATGCTAGTAAAGACCTAGTAAGCACTCTATCTTGCTGAAACATGAGTTTTTCCAGTGACCTGAAAGCACAGCTAAACATGAACAGCAGCGAACTGGTACACTTCTTGATGTACAGTAATAGAAGCAACAATCATCAGGTGGCAGATTAACTGTAATATGTTAAAATACAAGTTTACTACTCATAGAATGGTTTGGGTTGGAACAGACCCCAAAGATCATCTAGTTCCAATCTACCTGTCACGAGCAGGACCACTTTCCACTATACTCAAAGCCCCTTCCAACACTTCCAGGGAAGTAGCATCCACTAGTTCTCTGGGCAACCTGTTCCATTATCTCACCACCCTCACACTGAAGAATTTCTTCCTATCTACTCTCTGCCATTACTCCTTGTTCTGTTACTACCTGCCACGGTAAAAAGTCCCTCCCCAGCCTTCCTGTAGGTCCCCTTCAGGTACTGGAAGGCCACCATAAGATCTCTCTGGAATGTCCTCTTCTCCAGGCTGAACAGCCCCAACTCTCTCAGCCTGTCCTCGTAGGAGAGGTGCTCCAGCCCTCCGATCATCCTCATGGCCCTCCTCGCCCTCCTCTGGACTCACTCCAGTAGGTCCACGTCCTTCTTACATTGGGGGCCCCAGAACAGGACACAGTACTCCAGGTAGGGTCTCACCAGACCAGAATCACCGCCCTCGACCTGCTGTCCACACTTCTCTCAGTGCAGCCCAGGATAGGGTTGCTCCTCTGGGCTGCAAGCATGCATTGCTGGATCACATCGAGTTTTTCATCCACCAGTACCCCCAAGTCCTTCTCCTCAGATCCAGAGATGGAGATCAAATCATTATTCAAAGCTTTTTTGAATGCTTGAATGCTCCCCACTTCCACATGCAAACAAAACAATCAGAACACATTAATATATTAGTTTTTATTTTCCCATACAATATTCACAGGGTCTGGTTTTTGTCTTATTCAAACTAAACATTTTTCCCCCTAACTAAAACAAGAACTGACATTTGAGGACAGGAAAAGTTCTGTAAACATAAAACATCCAAGGAATAGCTGAAACCCAGGGCCTTTAGCAATTAAAACAGTTATATCCCCTTTAACACAGGGCATTTACTTGTGTATCACACTATTAACCAAACTAGTCTTTTCATGTACTAAAAAGATGCAGCTTTAACCAAAAGTCACAACGCATTTCTTCACCCACTGCATGTTAGCATGTGTTTTATTATATCCTACTCAGTCACTCACGTTAAAAACTATATACAGCTATGTTTAAACATGTGTATTTGTGCCATGTTTTTAATAACACAAAAATAAAGGCATTTTTTAAGCTATTGCTGCATATTATGCAGCAGGATACCAGAGGATTGCTTCAGATGCCTAACTTCAATGCAAAAGTCAAGTCCACTAAACCTCTGTAGTGGGAGTAATATTGAGCTGAACAGTCCCACTTCACACATTCAAACATTACGAAAGGATAAAGAGACACATACTTGATGGACAGCCATTGTCTGTTTTATCCCACTGTTTACCAATTTTGACATCACACAGCAGAACAACTCAGTGAAAAAAATACACAACATGTTTCCATCTTTAAAACAAATGATTTTGTTGTGATTAAAGCTACACAAGTGATATTCAAACTCAAAAAGATAGTAGTGGACACTATGAAAATTAAATAATGTTTTCATCTGACACTTGCACCCAAAATGTACCACTTGCTTCATTATTGTGTGGAATGCTGCACAAAATGGACTGAGTAACAGTTGATGAAACAAGAGTAAAGCATATAGGTACAATCAAGAATATTGTGTGCAGGCACAGATTTGTATGATAAGAAAGCACTAGGATTTTTTGTTTTCTGATCTTTGTGAGTCTAATTATTTCTGAGAAGCTTCCATCCCAAAATGGGACTGTATTTAAAACTCAGTATTTAAAACTCAGTACAGGATAGAAAAATTTACATATAATCCTGCATTTTACATACATTAAGCTTTTTAATACCCCTGCAGCCTTTTAAATATTTTTTGAGCTGTCTGAGGTTTTGCTTCAGTTTCCAAAAGAGCAGTTGTTCACTTCGTAACAAAGTAGGTGCACTTTTGTTTACTTTTTTCAGCCACCGTAAGATTTTAAAATCAAATCATCTTAGATCAATTATTTAGACTGCTCGAGTGTCACCTGTACATGTAATTTCAAATTTCTGCTAGAAATAATACAGGCAATTAATAAGAGTTTAGCATTTTTTTCTCTGCTTGCTAAGAAGTTTAAGAAGCATCTTTTTAATTAACCAGTAATATATGACAAATTTTTTCACCCTAGCTTAGTTTGTGTGCACCTAAGAATTGGTCAGTCTACTTATTCGTCCAGAGCCATTTGAAGGAGTTTAGCCTTATTAGGACTAGTTCAATCCAAGCTACTTGTAGGTACATATTTCTACTACCTTCCACATCCAAATAAAACAAGACTTTACAGTACGTCAGGTACTAAAGACATGCGCAGTGGAAATTATGTAACTGTTAACTCTATCAAAAAGATAACCTGAAATATTTAAAACATTTCCTGACCGCTAGGAAAAGAGTGGCAATTAGATGAACAAGGCCATCAAGTAACAGTGCACCACACACAGGAAAGTAAAATTTACAGCACTCGTGCAATGCAGTATCAACATCAAACTGGCCTCTTCACAGGAAAACAATTTAGTAAAAAGCTTTGTATGTGCCTAACGCATAATATAACCTTGTCCAGTGCTGGTGCTGTGCTGCTTAACAAACCAAGCTACTTCTGGTCTTAAATCCAAAAAGCAGCAGCAGCATACTGAGGACAGAAACTGTACAGTTCCAGTGACAAAGTTACAAGATTCTCTATTTTATTACGTTTTTAAAATAAACTTGGAGATTTGGATTTCTGAATACAAAAAGTGGATTTCCTGAGTAGCGTCAGCTTAGAATTTGTTCAATAAAACAAACATTGTGAAAGAGGAAATGTATTTATTTTAATATAAAAGAATGTATGTTTAAGGAAACATATTTAAGTATGAAATTTAGCAAGTTTTGAAGGTGGAGACTTACTTACCAGGCTGATGGAAAATTTGGACCATGGTGTAGTGTCAAGCTTGCAACAATTTTACAAACAAACAAGGGGTATCACTGGATTATTTTTTAACAGCAAATCAAAACAGTGCATTACAGTTCATCACGTTTGCCTTTTTAAAATTCAACATAGACTAAAAATTACAATCAAATCAAATTTTCATATATATATATTGGCTCTTATATGAGACACTAGACTGTTGGGTTTTTTTAAAGTGTTATACCGCAGATGGCTAATCTTACTGGTAAAAATCAAACTCAGTTTGGATTAGAATCAGTAGAAATTAAGAGAGGCTGGTCACTGCCTGGTATTTGATACAAGACTCAGAAAAAACTTACACTCCAAAGTATTTTTAAAATATTTCAAATAATGTGTCCCTTTCATAACATTTTGGGTCAGTTTTGTGATTTTTAAGGGATGAGGGGTAGACACATTTGAATGTTGCATATATTTAGATCCTTAGTACCTGCAATTAATTGGATAACAGTAATTTTTACAGATGGGTAGCACACAATGACATGAAGCATTACCACTGACAGTTATGATCCAACACGGGTTGTTGTGGTTCTTTTATCTGAGAAGAAGCTTTTGAGGAGAAATACCTGCCCAATACTAACGACAAGAAGAATGATTGCTTCCCCTATTGACCAGTAGGCCACCCTCGTGTTTAAATCCTCTGCTCTGCTGCGGCCCTGTGCTTCCCTCAAGCGGAAGTGAGTCTGATAATCGATGACAGACTTCAAAGCTTCATGAATTGAAACACACGCAGACTCCATCTAGAGAAGCAAACACACACCACTGAGTTAAGAACCCTTACAGTGCTTTTTCAGCAAAGTTTTGTGGTTTGATATTTAAAATTAGGATTCACGTAACTTTGCAAGCTAAGGATTAACGCAGTCCATCGTCAGACTGAAATACCATACAATGCTGTAAAATTTAACTTACATCAATCAAACTCTATACACAGGAATGCAACAGACTATTAAATAAAGAAGCGTGTAAAACTGAAGATCTATTAAAAAGCAACAGGCTCTGAGAACAACTAAATAAATCTTAAATTTATGTATATTTGGGTTAAAGATGAACATCAGAAACACTTTTGCAATGTCAGTGGTCTCCCAGTTGTTAATTCCACACATAACAGGAAAACAAACAGTTGCTTGTAACATTAAAATGCACAGAGAATATATTAATTGCTTCTCTGTTTCACAAGTTATAAATTTTTCATTGCATAATACTCACTCAAGTTGTACAATATCCTAAAAATCTACATTACTAAACTCAACATGTTCCTTTGGCAAGAGACCCTTCTTTTGCTACATGCACGCAAAAAGTGGTTACAGAAAAGACAATTCTGTTACCTTTCAGTGTTCCTGAATGCTCCTTAACCTAATCATATAAGAAATACTTAACAAATTGCCCAACTTAATTATAATTTTTCATTTAAAAAAGTATTACCAGTTTTCCAAGCCCTAGGTAACTTTTCACACAAACTTCTTCCACTTTCAGTTTACCTTCTGTAAATAAAGTCAGTATCCCTCACTGTGTTTTGATCATCAAGAAATTAGTCAATAGATTTTCAAAATACTTTATTTCTAGTCAGTTTGTTTTTCTGTTTTATGGCTTAAAATTAATATTTCCTGAAGATCAAACAACACAAGCTACTACAAAAGGAGAAGTTTAACACCCTGATAGGACCACTCTCAGTTACTTATATCCATGTTTAATCATATTTTCAAGTTGATCACTTTCCAGACAAGTGTCAGAACAAGTCTAATATAGTCTTCTCAACAAAATTCAGGAAGAGGTTTTCTAAACTACATTCTGCCATCGTTCTCACTGATAAATTATAGAGCTTTCCTAGCCTGCACAAGGGATTTAAACACAAAGTCACACTGGTTTTAGGGATTTACCTTTTACTGTCTCTGTGAAAGACTGCCCAAATCTGGTCATGCTACAAGCCTCAAGAAAACTGCAACTACAACCTTCTTACCAAAGATGTGTTGTGCTCTGAAAATTAACTCTCCCTTTCCCAAATACCTTATTTGCATTGTATATGCTACAACCCAGTGATAAACTCTTTTTAAATTTAACTTCTCCCACAGGCTGCAAGGGGTGGCAGAGATTATAGACCCAGAAACCAAACAGATGTTCTGCATTCTCAAAATCCCTCCGCAGATGCCAAGATAGCAAAAGAAAAACTAGATGTAACAGAACACTCAGACTGAACACAATGAAGACTAAAGTAAAGAAAAGAGATGGAAAGATACAGTATCAAGAATCAGAATACAAAATAAAGCAGAGCAGAAGAGTGACAAGAAGAAAGAAGTAAGAGCTGTGGCTGAATTCACAGCAAGCCATCTCCTCAGTACAGATCTCAGCTGCTGCAGGGTTATATGAGGTAAATTCAAGTGAGACTGGCAATTGGGAAGTGGTATTTATATCGCTGAGTCCAGACTAGCAAAATAGCAACCATGTCCAGTGTTCTTTAATTATTGTTTAAAGCGAGGTTTGGTGATGGTCATAATGTAAGAACATTAGTGGGAATTCATGAAGCAAGTGTTCCAAGGGAATTTCTGATGGATTTAGATTGGGTAGAGGTGTAAAAGATTTTACAGTAAAACTGTAAAAATCCTGAGAAAATAGTAATAATTCTCTGACACTTCATAGTGTCTTATAAAAGACAAATATCTAGAAGCCAGCTAAATATGTCTGACTTTGTTCTTTTGTTTATTTTGCTAGAATTTTCTTCTCCATTTTAAAAACTGCAGTTACATGAGAGGTCAAAGTAAGTCCTATCCCAAAAAAGACTGAACCATTTCAAATACAAAAAACAATTCTCAAACTTTGTCCAAAGTCTGGAAATTCTGAAAACCTGATCCACCAATATTTATGGTTTCTGAAATCCACACTTCAAGGGGCACAGAACCATGGCATTAAAAGGAAGTTCCCTTAACAACAAAAAGAACATGGTGGCCTAGAGTTTAAGTTACTACCCCAATTTTCTCTTAAGTACTTGGTGATTCCTTCTCAGCTCTGCTCTGTGTTCTATAAATCCTATCTTCAGAAAGCAAGTTTATTTGTAGTAATTCAGATTATTTTAAAAGCTCAAATCCATTGATTTTCAAAAGTGTTACGGATATCTAATGCATCTGAACTTAAAAAAATATTGTCTCCACCTAACAGCTGCTGTCAAACACAACAGTATTTTACCTGGGTAAGTGCAGTTACTCTGTTCTCACTAGGAAACAGTGGTGGATCTTCTCCAACCTGGAAATCAAAGTACACAGTTTTGTGTGTAAAAGTAGAGAATTCATTGCTGAAGCAGAATTTGTATGTTCCATTTCTGGGTGCAGTAAATGTGAAGCTATCATATTGTTTCTTCATCTCTTTGTACAATACAATGCCATCAGGATCTTCCAACCGACAGTCAACATCATAATGACCTCCAGTGATCACCTGAAAACAAAAACCAAGAAATCATCTTTTTAACAAAACAGACATTTATACATCTCTTCTAAGTATGATTTGTCAAGTGGCCCTGCAAAATCCTTTGCTTTAACAGATGTTTTAAAATATAATGCATTAATCTGAAAATCTTTCAAAGCAAGTCTGCAAAATTATTTGCTTACAGAAGACATTCAAAATACTTTTAGGTTTAGGATATGCAATGTCAACTGTATTTTCAAACCCTTTACGAGAGCAATTTTAGTTATTTTGTTACAAATAATCATCCAACAAAGGCTACAGTAGATGAAACTTGATGGGGCAGCAAAGACCTTATTTTAACAAATCAACCATTTGCTGTATCCACAGGTTCTCCATGGAACTGATCCAACTGCTGAGATTGCTACGATGCAGTAAGGCTGTGGAAAGAGTGTAACTACCCTACTAGCTCAAGTTGCTGCAGGAATGGCGTTTGACCAGTAGAACAGGTATTTCAAACTGGCTCTTTCAGGTGTGCTTGTGAACAGAGCAATGCTCTAGCAGGGTTTTCTGCCTCCCTCCTGCACAGTCAGCCACAGCATTTCATCCCAAAACCAGCACATGTGGATGATGCCTACAAGCAACTCACAACTTCACAAAGGTTTTTTTCAGGCTTTGATTGTTGTGGGTCTACAGCATATCGCTCTGCAGGCTAGCTATCCCACTGCTACAGAAAAACTAATCGGTAGCTTAGTTATTCATAATTTGGATGTTCTGATGACTCTTAGGATAGTAATTTTACACTTAATCCTCGCTCCAAACTTTCTGCTTTTAATATAAATCATGCTGAGGGAGGAAAAGACTTCTATCTAAAGGCGTATCTCTTTTATATGTGTGCAGAAATCACTCAAGTATTTTAGTATCTGAGTATCTGCACGTCAGTTCACATAGTATTATTTATACCCACATCAGTTTATTTAGGTATCAAGTTATTAACACAATAATCTTAATGGTACAACTGAAATAACAAAGAGATCTGAGCAGTAGCTGCTCTGTAAACAGGAATTTTTAAAAACATTCAGTTGGCAAGCAGTATCTTCACAGTTTTTCCAAAAATGTGATGACAGGCTACAAAGAGCAAAAAAATTTTTGGATGTCTGGATCTCTCACTCTGGATGTCTGCATCTACTTGGGATTTTCATACAGAAATCCTTGCCTGGTTGGGAGGAAAACCAAAAATAAGGTTTTCTATAATGAAATAACATCTCTTTTTTTAAAGTATGATCTCAAATTTGGCAGAACTGTGCTTTTCACCAGTTACATGAAAACCACTCACATTCCATTATATTACTGTGGAATAATTACTGGAGGTAATTTAGAAATTTAAAAAAAACAGCAATATTCACACATTAAGGAAAGGCATAATGTTAGAGAAGATGCCAGGGAAGAACGCAACTTGTAT